GAATTGTTGCTTTAAATGCGCCCACAATTGTGCGCGAAAGAAGCCTGCGCGGCGCGTTTCGAAGCGTTTTTGCTCAACGTCGAACATCTTGAATATGCCTACTTCATGAAGTCACATTTCGCTCCCAAGGGTGATATTCGCTTGCCATCGCAGCATTTTATAAATTTTTTGAAGAAATTTATCACAAGTATGAGGTGTTATTTTTCTTCTTAAAAAAAGAATAGAGGCGTAAAATGGACAGCCATTGGAAAAAAGGAAAAACCGTGGACAGCCATTGGAAAAAAAGGAAAAACCGCTGAATTTTCTGGTTAGGGGACTTGTTTCCAATGGTTCTCGGTCAAAGTCAGTCAGACAGAGAAGTACAGTCTAGTGACACAATGCGCGCGGAGGCGAACGAACACACTCAGAATCGAGAGCGTAAGGAGCGAGATCGCAGCAATGCGTATACTGTTTTAGGCCGATGTCAGACTTTGCGAATCGCGCGATTCGCTAGCGTCCGCGGTCGCGTTGCGGTACCAGCCAATTGAGTGATTCACTGGCCGCGACGCGACCGCAGACGCTAGCGAATCGCGCGATTCGCAAAGTCTGACATCGGCCTTAGCGAGTCACAATTCAAAAAGTAGTGATGCATCCGTCCGCGTCGCGGGTTTTTGACCTGTAGTGCATCAAAATTCAAAATGTCCCTTTTTCATTTGTATGGCGTGGGTTCTTCTCGCCCACAGATCTTCCGAGCAACACATTTTCTGTTTCCCTTCGCTCGAATATCCCTGCAAATTCAGGCAACACCCCGCCCAGACTCTGTGTTCGGTGGATCTGATTCCCTTACTGCAGCTGCTGCATTCAGGGAAGACGGTATCACAACTGTTGTTTTCCGGAAGAAGCTGCAAGGTAATATTTTCTGCCAGAGTTCTCTCGAGCTCTCCTATTCCTGCAGAATTTCAAATAACTCATCGCATTTCAGCCGAAGATGAATTTGACCACTCTATCCAGGGACCAATGACAGTCATATGGGCGAAAGGAGCCGATCCGGATTATTATCAGCATACAACTGGAGGTACATTGACGCGTTATAATTTTCGTAACCACGCTTTGCGAAGGCTTCAACACTTCCCGGCCATGTGGGACCTAACAAGCCTATTGTAGAATTTATGAATGATTTCTGCGTGAATCAGAAAAAAGTGGATAAATTAACACAATGACATAAGGTTGAACAGCTGCAGCAAATCTCATGATTGTATCGTGGCCATCATAAAGGCGGAGGGTTCGATAACTTGATTGCATGTTGGGAACTCCAACTAAGGCTTTGAGGTGCTGCATGAAAAAAAAATTTAAAGAAAGGGCTCTGAAACTCGCAAAACGGAAACCTTGATCTCCTTGTTGATTTCTTGTTGAGCTGGTCTGGTCGGTGCTCTCGTCATCAAGTGCAGCTCTTTTTGATGCACGTTTACCCTTTACTGCCCCACTCCTCGAGAACTGAGCCGGATTTTTATCGAAATTGGTCATGACTGTGAATTTGGCCAGAAACTTGCCTTCAGGGGTAATTCGACCCGTAGAACACGAATATCACATTTGTTTACCGCTAGAACGCCTGGCGCTCGCGTCAGAAGCGCCGGCGCCAAAAGGCGCCAGAACATCTCGGATCCCCAAATTCGCTGGAAAGTTGTCCTCAGAGGTATTTTGACCCGTAGAATATGATTATCACATCAGTTTGTTACGAGTGAGCCTGTAGCCTGCGCTACGGGCGCCCGCGCAAAACTGTTGTGATAGCGCCGGCGCCTGTGGCGCGGGCGCCAAGCGTTGTCGCGCTAAACCGGTGTGATATTCGTGTTCTACGGGTCGAAATACCCCCGGAAACAACTTCCTAGCCAAATCCTTAATCATAGACGAGTTTCGATCAAAATCTGGCTCCGTTCTTCCCTTTTGCTTTTTCTGCCAAAAAGACTGGTCCGACGGTTAGGGACGGCCTCCATCGGAGGCGGAGAGCGGCGCGAATGTGCCCAAGACATGGGTTCTCACGTCGTTACGATCGCCTAATCTGTCCCAAATGTAACACCTCTCGATCTTTTGAAGCTCAGCTCCCGTCGTAGTAGGCACCTTTCTCCTTCTTCAACATCGAAATTATAGTGTCAGTGCACACAGTAGAGACGTACTTGAAAATACTCCGTGACCTGCAACCTGTGATTTCTGCCCTTTTTTTGCTCTATAGCAAACTTAGTAAAATTGGGCTACGGGTGTGGCTGTTTGAGGGCGGAGCATTCACTAGAGATGGAGTGAAGCGACATGGTTTTGGTTGAAAGCGAATCCTGCACTGATCTAGTCAATTTTGGGTGTTCTTTTGCTGTTTCTGTGCAATCATAATTCTATGAATGCCCTCTCCAAGATGGAACTAAAGAAAAACGAAGGATGCTGAAATATCAAAAATAACCCACTAATCTTCCGCAAAATCATTATTCAGGAGCTCCGATCAAGGCCGATCCAAATTTCTTCTCAAGCAATGTTTTCAAATATCACGGCCGCAATCAACGTGGAGTGCTCACAATCGACTTCTTCAAAGGTTTCAGATTTTTCCAAAATAATTAGTAAAAAATGATCAGTCGCACAGTTTATCGATTGGATTATTTCAGAGACACCAAGGAAGGAGAAACTCAAACATGGTCTTCATATTGACGCCTCCACCTGCTCGGGAAGTTTCTCATTCCCAGCTGATTGCTCTGAAACCGACAGCGAAACTCCATGCCAGTACGTGCTGAAATGGATTAGTGATGGCGAAGTGGCTAGATTCAGTGTCGAGGTGAGTTTTTGGGTTACGGGTAATCATCGAAAAAAAGATATGCTATTTTTAGGCACTGATGAAAACTTCTCAATGGGTGGCGATCGGCTTTTCGACCGACGGTGGAATGGCCAGTTCAGATGCGGTGATTGTCGGCATTCAAAGAGATGGCGTAATCACTGTCACCGATCAGTTCATGCCCAACTATGGCCGGCCGGTTATTGATGAACAACAGGACATCTTCGATGTTGAGGTATGCTTGAGCGCCCGGTTAGATTCCCTGATGTGATGGAATGGTTACCTTTACAGACAAACTACGAGGAAGGAAAACTTACGGCTAATTTCTCACGAGAACTGCTCAGCGATGACAAGAACGACGTCAATCTACAAAACTGCCGCAAATCTCCAGAACTGCGTGCATCTGCTCTTCACCACCACTGCTAGTCAAATCGAACCAACAGGAGAGATTCGCAAACACGGAGAGACACCAATCGCCAGTCCAACCAAGGTTTGTCATCTGGAGTACTGTAAATTTCGTGATCCTGTGTCCGATCTCTATGGTTCTTTAATATGGTCTCATTAAGTCTTACGTGGAAAATTTGCTTGCATCGCCCCTTTGCAAGGCGTAGCGGTATTTCCTGCCGAAGTGAAGCTCTTGGGGCGCGGAAGACTCCAGAGTGAACGTGCTTTGCCCATCAGCGCCATTGCATATTTACAACATAAATGGAATCCTTGAGCTAAGGTGAGGGCGGTGAGGCTCAAGGATTTACTTTGTGCTCCGCCTACCACTACTCCCTGCCCACCAATTGATGCAATTTAGCTTTGAAGCTACTAAAGAGGAGACGTTTCGCCCTGTTTCCTCATTATTGGCGCCACTTCTTCGGCCTATCGCGGTCTTTTAGGGGCACAATAATACCCAGTTCTACCAGATCAGTCGTCCTGCATCACACTATTAGAACGGGGGGGGGGAGGTCGCATTTGTTGGTTTTGGGAGCGGGGGAGGTTCAATGTTGAGTGGAATGAGTGAGGACTATGTAATTTGTTAAGAGCGAATGGCGAGGGCGAGATTTAGATTGCGTTTTTTGAAGCGGGTTTTGGATAAGTTGGCGGCCGTGCGGTAGACGGTAGCTGGGGTTAGAGAAAGATTTTGCGTTCCATTGACACCTTTCCACGCGCTCAGCCCCCCCCCCCCCTTTCCCTGCTCGACGGTTTTTAGGAGGGAGGAAAAGAATGGCGGAGTTGAACTGTTGCTGTCAAACTGCGTCTCAGAACGAACACTATGTAGAAACTAGCTTGATGCATGATGGTGAGGGTGGTGCGTGCGCGTAGAAGGAAGGGTAGGCGTACATGGCAGGGTGCCTCCTGTGCAGTCTCCATAGCGATGTGAGGAGGTCGACCATCGAGACCCCTAAAGACGTGGGTCCGGGAAGTTTTTTAAAAGTTGCGAACGATACGGCTGACCCTGGATCTACCCCGGACCCAGCCTTTTCTCTGAAGTTCTCCCTGTTTTTGCCATGAAGCTTCGACTAATCCACGCTCAAGTTTTTGCTGAGTACACGTGCCAAGTTTCTTGACTACGGGTCATGACATCGCAATACAGTGGGGATGACGCAGCGTTCGTAGGCGCTTCTTCACTGCAATCAATCCCATAGGATCATATCCCTATCGGATTAGCGAGTCTCTCCGTCCCTAAACTGTGCGTGAGCGCCAAGTTTTCGCGGAAAATAGATATCGTGAGTATTTCAGAAGTCATTTCAAATGGTTCACCCTAATCAAGTTCATTGCGACTCCAAAAAGGGTGCTTGGGGCGTAAAGCAATGACTTTTAAAAGCACTTTGAATTCTCATTTGTGATGATGAAAAGGTTGTGTATGACCATTATGGAAGGAACCCTTGCGTGATGGGAGCTCATTTCCTGCATTTCTTCACGAAGGAGGGTTCGTGTCATTTAAATACAGAATTTAATTCAGGTGTGCCTGAACACTTGCTCTGAGCTGCCTTCGACGGTGAAAATACCGAAAGGCGGTGCGAAAGAGACCGGTAAACTACCGGCAGAGACGGTCACAACCACAACAACAACAAAGGCTCCTGTTGAGACGACGAGAAAGACCACCACTTACGTGCAAATGCCACCAATCATCAAGCAAGCTCGTGAGTTCATTTATTCAGTCAGTTTGGTGCGACCTATAATTTTCGAATTTATCCAATTCAGGTTGTCCTAAAAAGTCCTAATCCTCAGTGTAAGTATTATATTTCAAGGTCACCATGTTACCCATATCTTTGCGTCTGGCGTTTTGTAACAATTGATTTTGAAAAAAAATCATAAATAGAAGTGTTGCAGCAAAAAACGCCATCAAAAATGGAGTATTTTTTCCCAAAACTAATGATGAAGCAACTAGCCGACCATTACACTAGTTGGTGCCTGCGTATTGTGCTGTCTGTTTAGGGAGCAACATGGGTAACCGAAAGTTGTTGTCCAAGGGGGCCTTTTTGTGAATATTAGCCTAAAGTAAGGATTCATCAGATTCAGAAATCTTTGCAGTAGCGGACAAATCTCATGCCCAAGTTCGGGTCCGAAGATTACTAGCTTTGTCCTACTACCGAACGCAGGAACGAGCTCTCCCATTTTTGGTCACAATAATCATTCAGACGTGGCTTGTTTTAAGGGCAGCTACCGCGCACTTGATTATGAGACGAAGTCCTTCATGGAAACTGACCTAAGTAAATCATACCCCAGGGTTTGGATATTTGCTCCTTTTAGAAAGGGCCTTATAGGTAGACAGAAAAGCGTCTTATACCAGAAGCGGAGTCTAATGCTCAAAAGAGCTTCGCGACAATCCACCCACATATAAGCTCCCCCTCCCTCAAAAGGAACAAGTTGTGCAAAATATCAGGTTCTGCTAGCTTCCCAAGTACTACCTTCTCGTATCTGGAGGAACTACGACACATCCCAGATAATTGATGAATTCCAGCTCCGTTTGTCGTCTTCGAGCCTACTGAGCCGGTCAAGGTCTCGCTATGGACTGCGTGTTCCGTATTCTCAACAAAGAGTACGTTCCAGCATTGGCTGATCCACAATCAGAATACTACCAGAGCTTCACGAAAACGGTCACTGACGCAGTGAGTAATAAATTTCCTTGCCCAGGTAGCTCGCACTCTTACTGCACCTCAATTCGACGTCTGTGTCAACGAACTCTGTTGGCGAAAGACGATGGAGGCATGGGAAGCAAGTATTCGAACATCTGATCGCCACTCACAAGGCGATCAGGTTATTGACCGATTTCGATGGTAAACCCTTACTGTAATCCTAATAGCTTTCCAGTGGAATGCAAAATATACTGGGAATTGCAGATTGTATCGGTGGCGGACGTACCTCGACCGGTTGAGGTGAAGAGTCTGTTCGAGGAGAATGCCATACGTGGCACTATTGGCGGATTGGCGATTGAACCCAGTACAGTCAAGGCCAACGCGATCGGTTCGTCTCAAAGGTTCAACAGTCTTCTTCAGAACGTCATTCACACTTTGATTTTACAGAAGCTCCACCCGTCGAGGATTCTGAGTTCGGTAAGGCCTATGTGCGAAATTTGGTGATCATCGGAGCTGCAGCTCTACTTCTGATATTCGCCGTGACCTGCACTTGCTGTCTGCTATGTCGAGTTAGGAAGTCATCCAGATATGTAAGTTCAGGCTGAATTTTGTAATTTTTTGTAGGGTTCATGAATTTCAAACATTTCAGAACTCGGTACCCAGTACCACATCCGACTCCATACCTCTACGGAAACGGTACGTTTTGAGGGTTATTTAAGGCAGTCCCGATTGCTTGGAGGGTGGTACTGTTTCAGATTTGGACGTCATTGGACGTGATTGCGTTGATAGGCAGTTCCACACATCCACCAGCATGCTGAGGGGTCTAATTGGGGTACCCGACACGGAGAGCCCCGTCGCGCGGCGAGAAGGCAGCGATACAGGCGGGTCAGCGGATGAGTCACAGCTTGAAACGTACAATGTGGTAGGCACTATAGTACATTCCATTTCCGGCGCTAAATCGCTACAGGACGCGCTGCGACTCGTCTCTGCCTGCGTCTCTGCCTTCTCGCCAACCCACGGGCTTCCTGTCGGTCCCCTTTTGACAGGGATCGCCTTTCAGCCAATCAACTAGTCCACCAATGACCTTTATGACCTTATTTGAAACCACATCCAGCAATCGCGATCAGTGTCTTTAAGTCCAACATCAGTGACTGTACTGACAGAAGATTTTTCGATTGAATTTTTCTTCAACTTTCCCTCATTTTCAGGGCTAACCAAGGCCCCGGCCGGTTTTGACAATGCTGCATTCTTCAATCACCAACGGCATTATTCTCAAGCGACGACGGCTTCCACGAAGAACGGGAACAGTCCCCAATCGGCAGAAGGTCGTGGGGAAACACCAGGCGGCATAGGAGAGACCACCTACCAGGAGTGGTATTCTAAAGTAAATTCGACAGCATTATAACAACTGATCAAAAAACTCATCCTAATCGTTGTAGGTCGGATCCAAACCGGCCTCACAACAACACGAAGAAGCTCCAGTAGCCGCCACACGTCCTCCGTCAACGACCCCGTACGTCTCCTATCCAAATGATCCGTCCGGTTATTATACGTTGGGCGGTGAACATCGAACGGAATCAAGCAACAAGCATTTTCGATCTCCGTTTTGAGTTCTCTTTGAAACGTATGTAATAATTTGCCATTATTGAGTACATAGGCTCTAAAGTATTACTTTTACTATTGAAAATATATTGATTGAGTTTTCTTCTTCGAATGTTCCCTTCCAGTTTTACTGGTTCGTGTCCTTGTTTGTTATTCCTCTTGTGTTTTTCCTATTTATCGTTGCTCCGTCCAGCTGCGAATTGATCACTTACGAGAATAGTAGGGTGCTTAGTGTGATCTTTTTTGCCTTGTCGATCATTCCCCGAATTCTTCAATTTCCTATGGAAGAGTTGTGTGATTTTATTTTCATTTTGGTGATTCACTCCTGCCTTCAGACACTATTGAAAACATAAATATAAATAAGTGATGACTGTATCGAATATTTTTCAAATGCTTGTGCACTTTCAGATTCCGTCGAAAAAACTATATCGTGATCGAGAAAGTGATTAGGCGAAACTCTGCATTTTTTCGGTCGATCAAAGCAAAAGTAAGCGCTGGTGTAGTTGGGGGTTTTCGCGCCGGCATGGACGTCTTGCTCCTCGCATAAGCCCAGAAGCATCGGGGTTCACCCTGCTTAGGAGTGGCGTTCATGTCGGCGTGAAGGTTCACGTCGGCGTGAAGGTTCAATCAGGGAGTTATGCTGAAGGACGGTGTACGAGAATCAGCAGGACAACGACGGAAGAGCCAACAGGGCAGCGGCCAACTCGGCGTGGTCGACGTGAAGACTGAACGGACGGCGAAGGTACGCGAGTTCTGCTTCTCTGTCTGTCTTGAATCTTCGATCCGACGAGCGCACCGGGACCCACGCGCACCCACCAAGCGCGACCCTGCGAAAGCAAGTACATGCGGAGATTACGGACAGTGAGAATCCTCATCAAAGCCCATTCACAACACCATCTCACCTAGTCGTTTCTCTCTTTCAGGCACGAGTCGGGGTCGTGCTGGTGTTTTATTTTGCTTTTGCTTGAGAATTAGGTTAGAAGTGCAATGAGTAACAATAGTGGTGAGAAAAAGCAAAATGCACCATAGAAACACTAAAACTTCCCTTTCGACGCCTGCCGTGGTACGACGGAGGGACACAACGCCGCAGAGGTGAGGGAGTACGCCGTAGGCGAAAGGGCGCAGACGCCACGATTGCTAAGGATGGCAGCACGACAGCACACAAGCCAAGGGCCTTAGCCACCTTGCCCTCGCACTTTTGAGTCGTGACAGTGTCGCACTTTCTGCGCTTGGGGACAGTCTTGCACTCCGCGAGGGTCTTGGCTCTTGAGACCAAATCTCTCCTCGTGGTCCAGCTTGGGACGTTAGACTAGTCCTTAAGCGAGGTAACTAAGGCGAGGGGATGTAACAATTTTCATTTGCGTCAGACTAACCTTGCTGCACGCTAAAGCGAGCCTAGGACTAACCTGACTTAATTGGAGGCCTAAGCATAAGCCAATGTGTAAAGCGTAAGCCTAAACCCGAGCTTGACCTTCAGCTTCAAGAGTCGCACAGCTCTTATGACCTGACCACCGCAAAAGAACTGAACATTTCCCATTCCTATTCAGACGTCGCAAGGAGCTCATCTTGGTCTCATCGCACGCAAACTTGCTGACCTTGTGAATGTTAGGCTGATGGAAAAGTTTCCCACCGAAGAACATTGCAAAACATTCGAAGTTTATCTTGATCAATCCGAACGTTGTTGAGGACTAACAAATCGCTTTCTATCAAGTTGTTCATGACGTCCCGCTGCTGCCCCGTCTGGCAGATCACATTGGACGCCCTCTCAAGTGGCCAGCTGAATGGCCAGTTGAAAGGGTTTTTCTAACTCTTGAAACTTTCTAATGACACTAAACGCCACAATAATGTTCCCTTCTGAATAGCCTCAGGGACAAACGCCAACGGATCTCTCGTGCGTGAGATTTGTAAATCCTTCGAGCGGCCGCGTGTTATCGAGCACAAGGTCAATGCTCGAACCATTTCGCACTCTAATCCAGCTAAAGGTCGCGCCATGAATACCTTTATTTCGTTACGTCACCTCTTTTTTTTTTACCACACTGGGATGGAATCATTTTAATTCACGTACGAAATTCGCAGAAATTTTGCTTGCACGGAATGTCTCAGCTTTCCTCGCCCATCAAGTTGTACATCGCGGCACTTTCGCTATTCATCGTCATCAGTTGATATCGGGAACCTGCCCATTTATTCTATTCAGGTTGAGGCTTGGGTGCCGCCGTACAGTTTTTATTCGAATTGTTCTAACAACTATCTCGCTTAGAGGTTGGGTATTCCTTTCGTTCTCCTTTATGTTAAACCAGATTAGTCCCCCGTCAACCGCCGGGACCTTCCTTTCCTGCGCAAGCTTTCTATCCTCCGCTATGGTCCCTTCCTCCTGTGACACCAACACCTCCTGGAAGTGACGCGTATGCAACACAATGGTGTTTCATACAGTAGAAGGGACACAATCATGATATGACGGTAGATTTTTCGCTTTCCTTCCTCATCCTCCCTTCCTCTCTCCACTGCCCTCCAGCTGCCACTGCAGCACCATGTGGAATGAACGGAAGTGTGCTAAGCAGGTGTTTATATAGCCCTAAGAGTGTTATCACAACTATCCTGCTACAAAACATTGATATCTCAAATCCTGTAAGCTACCCGATTTGTTAGCGGTTTGTTTATCCCATGAGCTTCCTTCTCACTCACTTCATTTTGCGGACGGACACACATACATACATACATATACATACAATATGGTTGTCTCGAAAGTTCGTGCGTATTTTTTGGATCTCATGCCACAAGCTCCTTCAACAAATTCAAAATGTGTTCACGTAGGCTGTGGATAGGGCACACTGTGCAGTAGCTTATACCCGAATCCTGCCCACCATCGTCGCCTTCTTCGAGTTCAAAGTGGAAAGAGAAAAGAGCTATGTTTTTCGCGCTCTGACTTAAGCAGCTCTACTGAGCCACAAACCGATTGAAGCCTGAAGCGGCATCTGCATCGCGATACATCTCCTCGCCCTCACCAACAGTGAGGTATCAGAATAGCTGGATCTTCTCTGCTCAGGAGACTACAGCCGGTAGAAAAATCCACGTTCAGAGAGGCCATCAGTGTCGGATTTGGAGAATCTGTGCTCTCTCGTGGGAGTCACTCCACACGGGGCTACCTGCTTTGTGGCAACCACATCCTGGTGTTCCAGATGCACAATGCGTAGAGGTTCTCGCTCCTTCGTAGAATGGTTGAAGCCTCACCAAAGATTCCCTCATGAGTTGATCACTGATGACAGGAGTGCGGCACGAGTCCCGTCTACAATTTGTGTCCAGCTCCATCCGTACGCCCTGGTTGAACAAAGCTACTACTGCAGTTGAGAAGCTCAGGTTCCATGACAACCACACCTAGAATCTCCAGGGACTAGATCGGACAGAAGAGGGTGAAAAGTGAAGAAATTCACCACAAGGTCGTGCTCCACCTCTTTTGGAGCGTTATCGAGTAAGCCACTAGAGACATGTCAATCATTATAGATATGAATTCACTCAAGTGTAGGGAGATCAACGGCAGAGACTCACGGTGAAACCCCAACAAATGTCGTTAAAACTCGAAAAAGTGTGTACGCTCCACGACACCCGAGGCCACACATTTCGATAATGAAGCGATTCTGAATATCGAAGCCCAGCTGAAAAGGCCTACCACATTCATCGTGCAGCGGTAGTCATTCTCTTTCGAAAGACATCTGCCCTTTCTGCTCAGCCGCCTTCTTGACGACAAAAAATACGATTCCCATTAGCACCTCAAAATCGACCTCACTGCCTTTTTCAGCTCATAACTGCCAGCCCTTTGAGAGTTAAGTTGCCAATCTTTGGTTGGATGTTGGTAACAAGTCACTGATAGTGGTGGTACATATAATGATGATAGGTTGCACACGTGCTTGGAATAGTGCAGGCTCAAAAATAAGTTCAAAATACGCACGAACTTCTGAGACATAATACATACATACATACATACATACATACATACATACATACATACATACATACATACATACATACATACATACATACATACATACATACATACATACATACATACATACATACATACATACATACATACATACATACATACATACATACATACATACATACATACATACATACATACATACATACATACATACATACATACATACATACATACATACATACATACATACATACATACATACATACATACATACATACATACATACATACATACATACATACATACATACATACATACATACATACATACATACATACATACATACATACATACATACATACATACATACATACATACATACATACATACATACATACATACATACACACACACACATACAGACATACAAACCGACACACAAAGTTAGCGCTTTATAAAATAGAAGGATATATCTTTGATTATGATTCTAATTCACATGTGAGCCCTGCTCGTTCGTTCACGTTCAAGGCCAAGTTGGTGATCGAATGAACGGTCGAAGAAGTACTGTCAACTATGAGGATCGTTAGGTAGATGCATCACAATTTTCCTCCTTCACTATGGACAGTGTTGCCGACTTTCAGCTTAGCTTTTGTGAGATTCAACAAACCTGACTGAGAAATTCTTCTTCACTTCGCAAGAATGCTTGGCTTATAAGCAAAACTTTCGCGCTAGTGTGAAACTCGAACCCGCTACAGGTTACACTCCACCATTTCGCCTTGACTCAGCTTTTCATAGTATATTTGCCTCAGGACTCACACGTCTAACGATGATATTGCGCAACTCGTAGCGCACTTGCCCGGTAGAGGTGCGAGTTTGAGTCCAGCCTGGGACGTGAGTTTTGTTCATAACCCCGCATCCCTCTGATACATTTGCCACGCGAAAGTCAAAATTAATCTCTTCACTATTTTTGAGCAAATTTTTAATGACCAATTTTTAATGATTTTTAATTTGCAATATCAGTGTGGTAGCCGAACTATTCCAAGCGATTATAGGTGGAGTAAATAATACCAA